GAAGATTTTTTGTGATATATCTAATTGCAAATATAGTCGGGAAACATATCAAATATTTGTATTGAAGGTATTATTAAAAGTCCTGATAGTTAAATTTTAATTAAAATGCTAGTAAAAGATTATAAATATGGCTCTACTAATAAGCCAATCATTATTTTAAGACAACGAAGAAGTAGATTCAAGCTGGTGGTGTTGGTACCAATATTAGGAAGTCAAACACTTGAAATGTGAAATTCAATTGTTTCATCCATGCATTTCTTTGCTGGTTTACCCAAGTACATACCTTTTAAAGACCTAATTCCTCTCGCCATCATTAATTTCTCATGTCTTCGGTCTATATAAACATCTTTATAATGTGTGTATTCAGATTCCTATTTTCACAAAAATATGTAGTTGTACTATAGTTGTAGTTTGTATTTCACAAAAATATGTACTGTGATGAACCATTCTACAGTATTTTGACAGATGATTTGGTTTTAAAAATACTGAGTCTGGCATGGTGGTACACGCCTGTAATCCCAGCACTCTGGGAGGCTCAAGTAAGACGACTGCAAGTTTGAGTCCAGGCTGGACAACTTAGTGGGACCCCGTCTCAAAAAAAAAATTAAAAAGGGTGAGGCTGGAGATGTAGCTCAGAATGAAAAAGGCCCTGGGTTCAATGCTCAGTACTTAAAAATTTTTCATACTCAAAAGTGATTACAATTTTGGAAAAGCAAAGAAAAAAGCCACATCTGAACACTACTTTCTAAGCCAGATGTGCTCTGACTGCCCCTGGCTAACTTATCTGATAAACCCTGGGCAGCCGTGCTGTAACTATTATCTTGTATTCCATAAATTATTTACAATGATACATCTATGTCGTACACTTAAAAACATCCTTAAATTCTACCTTACTCAACTCTGGTCAGAGACAACCACCTCTCAGAGTCAACGGTGCTGCTCACCTGTACCCAGACACTTCCCCCCTCCCCATCTCACTCTGAAGCAGGACAGCAATAAATGACACACATTTTCAAAATCAGCTGTGTCACTGTTTCCCACTAGCATGGATACTGATGCGTAGCAACACAAAAACAAGCAAAAACCACCAATGTTCACACAAATACAAATCTTTTGTTGAAGTCCAAGGGTCAAAGTTATATTGATAGCCTCTAACTAGCCAGGGAATTTGCTCACATTTGTAAACAGAATTCCTTATCTCAGTAATTTCATCAGTAGAGTTAACAAAGGTGTGCCTGATTTCCATCCAGCTCCTATAGAACACACTAACTCTAGACACCATACCACAACCAAGGGTTCTGTTCTCAGGCTCCTCCCCTCAATTCCTCAGCACCGGACTCAACTGGAAACAGCAGTTCTAACTGAATGGTCTGCAGTTCTAGACTCGTACTTATAAAACCAAAAAAAAAAAAAAAAGTACCATTATCTTACAGAAAAAGCAATCAAACATGCATGCTGTGGATTACAACATTCAAACGGAAAATGCAATTATATTATTTATTTCTACAGCTATTTGATTTAAGTTCTCTAGTAAAGCATGAGCATATGTGTATCTTCAGTACAAAAGAAATTCTGATAAGTGGGAAGCTTAACTCCCTATTCAGAAACTTCTAAGTATCATGTTTTGATAGTCGGTCTGTTTTTACTATATATCTTGCCAAGTTCTTTCTGGCTTGAGAACCCCAGATGAGGCACAGCTTTCCTATGGTTCAGTAAGCACCCACCTCCTGCAGGATGGCATGAGTGACACAGCGACTGACAAGGACGTTCCCAGTCCTTTCTACACTCAGTTGTCTCAACCAAGCCCAGCAGCTGAGAGTAGAAGGCCTATTGTTTGTTTCCCGAGTTTCTCTGTGCACGGGAGGAGCTGCTGGTCATGCTGGTAACCACCCACAGCCTCTGATGAGAGATGTCACCACAAACCTCCTGAAGAACCCTCATGTCAGCAGTGGTTCTGCTAATGACATTAAGAACAAAGGCAGACAAGAAATTTTCTACTGTCTCAATTTTGAAAGGGGCTGACAAACCCCTTGGAACTGATGAACTACACAAGAGACCTACAAAGTCACTTCTATTTCAGAGGCCCAGAGTAGGGGCCACTGTTGAGGTAGATAACATTCATGCTACATGTGTGGTTTGCCTGATAGGAACTCGAAAAAAAATTTTTTTTAATTTATTGAAGGACAGAGTCAACAAAATGTCTTTTGAGGAGAAAGAAAAAGAAAAAAGAAAACCTACCACTTTCCAAAAAAAATCAACTACTAAGAACAGTTAAGAGATGAGTCTAGCTGATTGTCATTTTGACCTTGCTTTGCTTTAATTCAGGAGACTATTTAGAAATGTAAGGAGCAACCCCTTTCACTCGGCTCACCTAGCAGAGCTAATAGGCTTCTAATTAATTTCCAGAAGATTGCTGTTATAACTAACAGGTTTTAAACATTTGGTTGATTGGGGAAAATGAATTGAATATAATGTATTTGATTTGGAAAATTAGTTTTCATTCTATGTGCTTACCATAATAGTGTTTATTTTAAGTTTACATGATTCCATTAAGAGTCCCAGAACATCACTGGGTTGTTTGCAGCCCTACGGAGTTCTATCCAACTTTAAAAAAAAAAAAATCAACTTACATTTAGATTTTTGTTGGTCTTTATATGAGGGCAGGTTAAATTTATTTCTGTGGCTTTAATAAAAAATCTTTGCTTGCTAATATAGCAATGGGCCCCAAATAGTTCAAAATGATCCCAGAGGTAGATCAGTCAAAAGCCCACTCATCGAATGCAAATCCTCCAGAGAAAGGCTCTGCACACCAAGTGAGATGAACCAGAAGGCCATTGTTTATGAAGTTTCACTTGATTCCTCCTGACAACCATTTAAACAATGAATGTTGGGAAATGTCCCTCAAAGAATCAACAACAATGGCAAGGATCAGCACTTTTATATTTAGCTAATACTATTTTTAAAAGGAGAAAATATTTCTTCCTGAAGGGATTATGGGAAGCTTTATTAAAGACACCTGCAAACAAAACAAGTGACAATAGATCTTTATCATAATTGATAACTGAGTTATCCTTTATATAAAACACCTTTCTTGGAGACAATAACCTCAAGATTTACCTTTGCTGTAGACTGAAGAAATCGGCTAATTAGGACCAGGAGTATTTAACAATGGTTAAGTTTACCAAGATTATGTGAGCCGATAATAAAAAAAAAAGACGCTTGTCTATCTAGTTAAACAGAAGTGCGAGACTAGAATCTCCTCTCCCCACATTGCTGAGAATGTTTTATATTGAAATCAAGCAGCATCTATCCCTTTCCCTCCATAGCCGATACAAAAACACTCGAGAGATTCTAATTAGCAGGGCTCACTCTGCTAAGCACACAGTGGGCCAGCTGGCTCTGGAAACCCAACCTTGGCCTAGCTTGCAGTTGCAAAGAAACAGAACCTTTCACAATATTTTCTCCAAGTAATTAACAATCACTGTCGAAATGTGTACTTCCAGTCATCTGCATTCCATGTAAGGAATGAGACTGTTTTAGTGAAAGGCTGCTCCTGGGGATAAATAATATAGCAAAATGCAGCAGGACACATTTTAAAAAGTGAGTTTGCAGAAGGAAAAAAACCCAGAAGAGCTTGTCTGAAGTCCCAGGACTCCACCCATGAGTCCCAGTTGAGTCCTCAGTCAGGTCACCTTGGTACACAGTGCTGTCTTCCCCCACAGGCTATGCTGTTTGCAGACAGATGTTCATTCTGACCTGCCTGTGCCACTAATGACTTCCGGTCATCAGTGGAGGCCTACTATTGATTTTTCTGATATAGCTTATTTTTTAAATTAAGTGACTCTTTTTATGCCAGTAACTTCAGAAGGGATTCTAAACTCGAAGATTATCTGACCATTGAAAAAAAAACGAGGACTGAGCCATAATCAGAGACCCTGACTGTAGCACTTTCCTTTCTTGGCCCTAAACTTGGCTCATGATTAGAACAACTATAACCTAGCACTTAAGGAAAGTGGAAAAGGTTCAAACTCATGACAGGTTAGCCACAGGAGTTGGGATTGTAGAATATGCTCAGCTTTTGATAGATGCCATTTCATTTCCAAATGGATTTTTAAAAGTTCCCCCAGCCCAAATCACTGAAAAGGAGACAGAATTAAATAGCAGGTAAAATAAATACCGCATGACCATCAATACTGAATGAGGGGATGAGAGATAAGATGACCCAACATCATTCTTTAGGACCTCAAGTTCACAGACAATACAAACGCTTCACAGAAGGTATTTGTTAGGCATTGCTGGTTTTTCTCTTTTTAAAGAAAGACACCTTAAGACAGAGCAATCAACGTGTGAAGAGAAAAGCTGCCTAGAAAAACAAAAAAAAGACATTTTCCGAGGTGACTTTGATCCTGTACTCAAATTATTGGCTTAAACATGCTTGCCTTCAAAGGCTTTGTATCTGCAATAACTGCCCTCTATTGTCCTTGTTAACAAAGTATTATTTTCATCTTATTATTACTAATCTTTTCTTTGTAAGTAACCACACCTGGTTTTATCCCCCTCCCAAAGGGAGAAGAAAAAAATAAAACAGTGCAGTAAATATTTGCCCTTTGTGGTAATACAATGCATAATTTAGTTAATCTGGGCTATCTTTCCATGAGAGGCGATTGTTTCTATATTATGAAATGTGTTCACAGTGAAGTGAAATCCATGCCAGATACCTGGGAGGCAGACAGAGAGCCACTTACCCAGCATGTAACTGCCACAAACCAACCCTGACAGGACTGCGTGGCCACTCCTACACAAGAAGTATTACTCATGCTAACTTAGCCTCCGAATCACAGCCACACCTTTCTTTTACAAACATGAGCTTCTTATTAAGGTAACATTACACATCACTGGGCCAAGGACCCCACTCCTATTTCCTTCCTCCGTGAAACAGCCTTGGAAAAAATAGGAACTTCAGTTACCCATTTGACAACTTGACATTACTGTTACATTACCTGGGTGAAATCTAGAAATGTCAAGGGAAGCAAGTCATCCATATGTCCAATGTCTTTGGAGAAACGATTTAAAATTCTTCCTGCAAGAACAGGATATGAGAAATTACTCATTTCCCCAGATAGATCCTTTAAGAGAAACAATTCCCAAACAAATCAAAACAATATTTTAAATGCATATGTATTTAATATATTATGCATTCATATGGAATAAACCAATGTCAATGGCAAAGACAAAGAGGATGATACCTAAAGAGAAATAAAAATACCACCAAGTGGTACTAAACAAGGAATTACAATGCGGCCCTAATTTAAAAGGCAGGGGGCTTCTTGTGACAACAACAGTATTGGGAAGGGTTTTATTAGTTTTATTTACTTTTTTATTATTGGTATGCATTTGGATTGGGGAATTTTAGAACATTTCTCAATTTTGGGTCCCAACTAGGACTTCAGTTCAAGTGCTAAGTGGGGAGGTGAACAATAGCAAAATATTAAATTAATCCCAATTGTTAGGCTAACTTTGCTTTAGTTACCAGAATTTTGCTAAGCAGTACATTTTTAAATAAATGTAATTGTAACCTCTGTTTGTTTTTCTGTTTGGTTTTTTTTGCCAGGATGGTTCATGGTACTTTCATTGTAGGAAAACTTGAAATCCATCCAGGTTGTGAGTATACTGCTATAGTACAAGTCATTATTTTCAGATGTGAGCCAAGTGTGATAAATGCAGACTGAAACATCTAAGAAGACAAGAGGAACGTAGGCCAGAAAATGGACATAATACTTAATGATTAAAGATCACTTCTTATCATTGATTTTATTTCCTCGCCAAGCAGAATCCAAGAAAATGGTGTATCAATAAAAGCTTCAGAAACAGAAAGTTAATACTGATATCTAATAAATATCTTCTATCCTTTTGACTTATTTAATTTTTAAAAATTGAAGCCACACCCACACAGAGCCTATTCTGATGCAGGCAACCCAATAAACGTGCTTGCTGGCCCCAAGGTTACGTTCTGCCTGCTGCTTTGGGAAGCCACACTGCCGGTGCGATGCGGGACCCCTGGGTGCTCCTGTCAGTGTGTCTGAGAGGATTTCCTCTGAGGCCCTTTGGATCACGAAGCCACTGGACTGGGAATGTGCAGGGGCTGGGGCTGGGCTTCCGCTGCCTCTGCAGTTCTTCCTTGGGGCACTCAGGCTCAATCTGGAGCATGAGGTGTGCAAGTCTGAGACAAGCTGAGCTGCAATTTTCCTGTCTTAAGCTCAGGACATACAGACTCCTAAAAGCATCCTTCAGTGCTATCTTTGGCAGGCCCAGTGACAACTTTCTTAGCCTCTAATAACACCTCCTTTAGCGTTGTCCTGAGGATTAAGCGGGGCATGCCCATGAAAGAAGCTAGTCACAATGCCAGGCACTTTTTAACAGATGCTCAACAACAAACAAAAGGTGCGATGATGACTATGGCCGCAGGTTCTGCAGCATGCCATCTGGGGAGGAAGTTCAAAGTGTTAAAATGCAGATTCTGATTCAGTGGCTGGGGTGGAGCTTGAGAGTCTGCACCTCTAGCAAGCTTCCAGGACGCCCTGCCTGCAGTTTCCCAGATGACACGTGGTTGGACCAGTGTTGATCACACGTTTGAGAAACATTGCAATCACATGGGCAATTTTTCCCACCTATTCTTACAGACTTTGTAGCCTCCTTAGTTATATTTTAACTTCCCAATGATCAACACGAAAAGAAAGAAAACCCACACTAACAAAATATTAAATATGTAATTAAAATACTTTCATTGGAAAAGTTATAATTTTTTAACATAGGCAAGATTCAAATACATTGAAAGTGTGGTTCCACTTAACATGTCAGGAAATATTCAAAAATTTTCTTTGAAAAAATGAAAACACTATATCGAGATGATCGGTACATGAAAATCACCCCTTAATCTTTTATTAAATACAGGATCTTAAAGACTAGGGGACCCACGGTTTGGCAACAGCATAAAATACAATACAAACACACATCACTGAGAAAAGCCATCTCTCCACACAGCTACTTCAATCATGAAATGTTAAAGACTGTCCAAAACCCAAACGCTTACTCACCAGCTAAGCATAGAAAATGTGAGACTGGAAAGTTCCATAATTAACACTTCATCGTTCTAAGAAACAATGAAGTCAATGAAGGGTGTTTGCAGAATATTTTCATCTGGCTTTGAGGGTAGACTTGAAATTAGACCTGTGATGTCAAGTTTACGGCCTCATAGTCAGAGGTCTCCAAATCAAATCTGATGATGAATTCCCTCCATGGTCCTGCCATGCCTCTTCATCCCAGTGACCTGTGGTCTCTGCTGAAATGTGTCCAGGATGCAAGGAAAGGGGAGTCAGTTTTCGGGGGAAGCTCAGTCCATTTTCCAATGGTTTTGTTAAAAAGAGCTTGTGTATATTAAACCTTCCTGGAACATCAAACTATTACTGCTGCTTATTCTGCCCTTATAGCTGCCGGAGTGGATCTAATTTCTCTCGATATGACAATTCTTCTCATACCCTTTTTACAGACTTCTCAGGAGCATCTGACCCCTAGACCCTGGATTACCCCACACCAGGCAGATGCCTGGTGCCCAGGACTGAAGTCAATACCTTTCCTATATGGGATCATTAGATACATGATCTCTGGCTTCTTCTGCTTAGTCTAAGTTTCTGAGGTTCTTCCACAGCATAGCATGTGTTAGCAGTTCTTCCCTTTTGAGCCCTATTTGCCAGAAAAGATAGTCATATGTATCAGCAAAAAAAAGGTCCTAACAGACCTTGATGGAAAAAGTGGGCATCTAAGAAGAGATACTCTTAGATACGATGAACTTTTTTATATGTACCCATATTTAGGTCTGTATAAAGAAGGTACATATCTAGAATCTAGTGGTGACTATAGAACTTGATTCTTCTGACAAGAACTGGCCTTTGAAAATGGGTGTACAGCTTGGTGGTAGAGTGCTTCCTAGACTGTGTGAGGCCCTACATTTAATCTTTTGCACCAGGAGGGAGGGGTGCTAAATTTGGGCTACTTACTACATTGGGTGAGGCAGACCCACATGGCGCTGTAGGCAATGGTAGGCAGAGCAGGGGCACAAATAAAAGAATTACTGTCTTGGTGAGAAGTGGAATCTAAATCTAAGAAGACTAATCCAAAGAGCATAGTCTATCTAGTAGAGCAAAGACAATGGACCTGTAAACCCCAGGCACAGAACAACATGGCAGCAGCGGGGTGGGGGTGGGGGGGGTGGGGGGTGGAAGGGGTGACCTAGTCTAAAATGGAGGAATGGAAGGTAAAAGGGATAGCTGTGTGCATGGCATGGTTCGAGGAAGACATTCAAGGAGTGAGCCAGCTGGACTTTTTGCAGCATTCTACAATAATTCAGCCAGACCGCCCTGAGAAAGACACAGGAGCTGTAGAGGTCTCACAGTTTGGCCTATCTTCTTTGTCCCTCCAGTCAGAACAGGCCTTTAACATGGTGGAGGCCAGAGCGAAATGAAACAGAAAAAACAGCATGAATGAGGCTGCACAAGGTCCTCATCCTCCTCTGACACTGGGCAGCAATAGGACTTCACAGTACTCAAATTCCAACTGAAACTCAAATTCCTTATCTGTACAACGCAAATGTTAAATTTGTCTCTACTTCACAGAGTCAAAGATCAAGAGGATAAAAGAGGTCATGATTACAAAGGTATCTTCTAAATTTGGAAGCAGCACACACCTGAGTTAGTCATTATTACTGTAGAATTTTAGAACTTGAAGGGGCATGAAAGATCTCCAGGACTAATAGTAATTTCAAAACTCCATCCAGTGAAGAGTCTGAGATTCTACCCTGAAAATCCCCACGAGACAGAGGAGGAAGTGGAAGCCAGGCACACCCAACTCCACTCTACCCTCCTCTTTGGCTGTCTGCCCCTGACAACCATTGGACATTCACATAGAAATCCCCTCTAGAAAAGGCTTCTGCAGGCAACAGAAAGGTTCATGAGCATTTTTGTGGACCCTGCTGTGTTAGAGATAAGGAGAAGAAGAGCAACCTCACTCAAAGAGCTGCAATTTTGTAATGAGTGGATGCTGCCTGCCCAGCCTTCTGGGGATTTCCACACCACAGAAGGGGGAGTATGAGCAACCTCATTCTTCAGGGGAACTTGCTTCAATAGCCTTTGCTGGCTCTTACTTTTTCCTGCAGGTAGTCACTGGCTGACTTTTTTTTTTGGTTCTTTTCCTGAACTTTGCTCATATTCATTATCTTCATTTCCTGTACTTTGCTCTCTTTCATTATTTTCATTTCCTGTTGTTTTAAGCATCCCAAATCTTATCATCACCCCGATCTCCCTGGGCATACTCAGACACACAGCTATCCTCCAAAACATCTGAAGCTGAATGGGATGAAATTAAATAGACTCCTTTGAAACTGACCCACAATGACCCATATCCAACTGCTCCAACTGTGTGTTAGACCTATGCCCACACACCCAGCACAGAAATGTCTGTCATTTTTTATTTATCTTTATCTCAAATAATTACCAGCATGTCTTAATTTTCCATTTAAAATAACCTCATTTGCATCCTTATTTTTCCAATCAATTCTATCAAGCATTTAGGAACAGTGAGGAGATAATAGGTACTCACCTAACCTGCTTTCCATCCCTCCTGATGAGGCACCTTTGTTCTACCTTGAAGATTTACTACTCTGTCCTCTATTCATTTCTCCAGGTCCCCAATTCTCACTCAGCCTCACATCCCAGGTTCTCAGCCTTAGTCCTTTGTCTTCCTTGAACCTTTGGTGACAAGTATGCCTTTCAGGAACTTGCAACTCACTTGAACTTCTTCATCTATATTGGGTTTTTTTGGTTTTTGTTTTTTGTTTTTGTTTCCAGGGATCGAATGTGGGACCTTGCGCTTGCAAGGCAGGCGGCAGAACCACTGAGCTAAATCCCCGGCCCCTCTTCATCTATATTGGGCAGGCTTGACATGTGCAACACCCTTCTCTAGAACTCCCCACCACACTGGCCACAGTGAATGCACCAAGAGTAACCAGGGCACCTGGGGACTGGCTGT